GAAAATATGTGCTTCTGGGACACCTTAACCATTTTTATTTTAATGAATATATTTTTCTTTTATTTAAATTATTATTTTTTTATTTAGAGAGAGAGCATGGGGAGGGGAGCAGAGGTTGAGAGAGAGAGAGAATCTTAAACAGGCTCATGCTAAGCATGGAGCCCGAGGCAGGGCTCAATCCCAGGACCCTGGGATCATGACCCAAGCCGAAATCAAGAGTCGGACACTCAACCCACTGAGCCCCCAGGAGCCTCTGAATATATTTTTCTTAAATGATTTGAAGAGATGGGTTTCTGCCATTTTTGTGTAATATGCTTAAATAATGAATAACAATTTAGTGTAATCATAATTATATTTTTTCAACTGAAAATGAATGTATTCATTTTCACATATATTTGTGTTCCACTTTATTTTGAAAGTTTTAAGGCAAAACACTTCACCATTCATACTTATACAATTGCAAGACATTTATTTTAAATTCTTTTTTTTTTTTTAATTCTTAACACAAAATTTATCTGGCTAAAAAATGTAATAACATACTAAACATACATATAACCTTAAAATAGATATGACTCTGAAATACTTACTTGAAATGAATAATCTAAAATACCTTAAGGTTTCTTTTACTGCCGCATATACACATGGGTAATTATATACACAGATATTCACTTATTAAAAACAATAGCTAATAATTATTAAATGGTAGGTATTCAGCACTTTACATGCATTATCTCAGTTAATCCTAATTATATCGTCATCATATTACTCATGAGGGAATTGAAAGTTCACTGAAGTTATATAATTGGTACAAGGTCACAGCTGATAAGCTCCAGATACTGTTTTTGAACTCAAATAGTGTCTGTTATCAAATGTCTTGTTGACATAATGCTGTAATCCCAATGTAATCTGTGTCTTCATTTCTTCAGTGTTTAGATTTATATTCCTCAACCCCAAGCCATATGTATTTTTTTGAGTGCCTACTATGTGCCAGACTGTTTTTTGTTTTTCTTTGCTTTTCATTTAGAAATAATCTTAGACTTAAAAACAGTTAAAAAACAAATACAGAGCATTCATATATATTTTTTTACCCACATGTATATATTTTACCCACATAGATATTTTCCCCCTAATTTTCATAATTTATATAACCATAGTACAGTTATCAAAATTATAAAAATCAGAAAATTAACACTGGTACAACACTATTAACTGAACTATAGACTTTGTAAGGATTTCACTAGCTTTTCCATTAATGTTCTTTTTCTGTTCCAAATTTCAGCCTAGGATCCAACATCACATTTAATTGTATCTGCTTTAAGTCTTTGACCTTTGGCTGTTCTTTAGTCTTTCCTTTACTTTCATGAGCTGGACACTTGGTGAACACTAGTCAGTTTTGGTTTGTCTGATGTTTTCTCATGATTCGACTGAGGTTATGTGTTGTCAGGAAGAATGCCACAGAGGTGGTATGTGCCTCTAAGGGCATCAGAGGGCACGTGATATTTTATTACAAGTTGTATAGTTTCTCCACTGTGAAGTTAATTTTTTGCCATCTGTAATTAGTAAAAACTTTGGAGCAGATACTTGGAGACTATGCCAATATCTTGTTTCTCCTCAGACTTTCTCCTGCTTTCTCTGCTGTATCCTGCTTTTTCCAGACTTTCTACTGCTTTTAGTATCTCTCCGTACACATGTATTTTAAGGCTTCTTCTCTGAGTAGTTCTAAAGACCTGTAACTACCAGCTGTAGTTCCACTCTTTCTTATTGCCAGGTTTAAATTTTATTTTTAAACTACGTTATAATAAAGAACCTACTAGTATTTCATTACTACAGAATAGATTCTCAAAAATAGATTGTAAGATCTGAGTATATGTATATATTTAATTTTAATAAATATTTCCAGGAAAAATGATCTTCAATAAGCAATATGTAGAGACTGCTTGTTTGACTTTCTGGATTTTACTTGCTTTAGTCCCAAATCAAGTTACAGCAACAGAAAGAAATACACCTAGAGCTTATAATTTATTATCCTAAAAAATTAACAACTATTATTTATTGAATTCTTTTATGCCAGATACTCAGCTAAAGTGCTTATCTATGTTATATCACCAAATTATATAGTACAAAAGCAAATTAAAAAAAAAAAAACAACTTTCCATTTTTTTAAATGCATTTAGGGGGCGCCTGGGTGGCGCAGTCGGTTAAGCGTCCGACTTCAGCCAGGTCACGATCTCGCGGTCCGTGAGTTCGAGCCCCGCGTCAGGCTCTGGGCTGATGGCTCGGAGCCTGGAGCCTGTTTCCGATTCTGTGCCTCCCTCTCTCTCTGCCCCTCCCCCGTTCATGCTCTGTCTCTCTCTGTCCCAAAAATAAATAAACGTTGAAAAAAAAAATTTAAAAAAAAAAAATAAAAAAAAAAATAAAAAAAAAAAATAAATGCATTTAGGCACAGTGAAGTTACCAGCTATAATTTTTTTTAAATAGCCTTTTTCTATAAACTCTAGGTAAAGGATTCATATTTTTTGCATTTAGTAAAATGAGACTTGTTGGTGAAAATAATTTGTAGTGAAAGATGTCAGTAGGGGCCTCGGCTCAGACCAGCCTCATGTTTCAAAGTTTGTTGGTGACTGCTTGATGACCCAAAACCTCCCCTGTAAGCATTAGTTTCATGTAACCATTGGTACCAGCTACGACTTTCCATGATGAATGCTGAAAAAAAGAAAGAGAAGTTATTTAAGAATATGAACATACTCATTATGGCATTATCATCTATAAGGTGATTAACAGCAATACCAGAATATGAACAGAAGGTTTTGAATTGTGTATGATTGGAAAACTTATTGAACTGGTTACTAATGATGCTATGTGTCAACCAGAGATGATAATCTTTACTATATGTATCCATCTTAAGAGAAAAATCATCTAGAATACCATATGGATTAAATCAACATTTAAACATTAACTCTGCGTTATTTTAATTGGACAGTATTTTTAAAACAAACTCTTTTTATTTGAATTGCCTGTAGAATTCCATACAGAAATCTTTTTTATGGTTAGATTATTTCCATAGTGAAAGTTTGTGGTGGATTGTAAATTCAGTTTTAAGTGAGCAGTGTCTTTATTTTGTTTCTTCCTGTAAATTGTGTACTTATTAAAGCAGTTGGGAAAGTCATGATTTTCTTGCTTCCTTGTAGGATCACTGTATACAGAGAGTATTAAAATAACCATTTTAATATTCTATATTTTTTTTTAATTTTTTTTTTAACGTTTATTTATTTTTGAGACACAGAGAGACAGAGCATGAACAGGGGAGGGGCAGAGAGAGAGGGAGACACAGAATCTGAAACAGGCTCCAGGCTCTGAGCTGTCAGCACAGAGCCTGACGCGGGGCTCGAACTCACGGACCGCGAGATCGTGACCTGGCTGAAGTCGGACGCTTAACCGACTGCACCACCCAGGCGCCCCAATATTCTATATTTTTAAAAAAATATTGGGACACAATTGACATACAACATTTTATATTCGTTTCACATATACAACATAATGATTTGATAGTTTGTGTGTATTGCAAATATTTGTATGTATTGCATAATATTTGTATGTATTACAAAAGTATCATCATGATAACCATACTTAACATTCATCACCACACAGTTACAAATTTCTTTTGTGATGAGAACTTTTAAGATCTACTTTCTTAGCAACTTTCAAACAAAACAGTGTTACTAACAACAGTCACCATGCTGTACATTATATCCTATGACTTATTTTAACTCCACCCATTTCTACTCTAAATTTTTAATATCAGCATTAACTGTTACAGTAAGACCAATGTAAGATTACACCTGAAATAGCTAAGGAAATAAATATAAATACATATAAGTGGCTCAGTTATTATAAATGGGTCATATTAAGGCCATTTTAATTGTAGTTCATACTTGACATGATTAAAAACTGTAAAATGTATTTACCTTTTTGGTGAGGGAGGAGTGCTTGCTCTGTTGGGGATTACCAAGTCAGATTCTTGGATGTTTAAGACTTTCAAGACTTGGGTTTGGAAGACAGGGTTACACCGCATTCAAATGTGGTGTTATTTTGGGGGCACTTGGGTGGCTCGGTTGGTTGAGCATCCGACTCTTGGTTTCATCTCAGGTCATGATCCCAGGGTTTCCGGATCAAGTCCCACATCAGGCTCCATGCTGAGTATGGAGCCTGCTTGGGATTCTCTCTCTCTCTCTCTCTCTCTCTCTCTCTCTCTCTCTCTCTCTGCCCTTCTCACCCACTAGTGCATGCTCTTCCTCTCCCTCTAAAATAAAATTAAAAAAAACACACAAAAAGTAAATCTGGTGTTATTTTCTTGATTCGTTAAGATAATATGGGTGTTGGGGCGCCTGGGTGGCTCAGTCAGTTAGGCGGCCGACTTCGGCTCATGTCGTGATCTCGCGGTCCGTGAGTTCGAGCCCCGCGTCGGGCTCTGTGCTGACAGCTCAGAGCCTGGAGCCTGTTTCAGATTCTGTGTCTCCCTCTCTCTGACCCTCCCACGTTCATGCTCTGTCTCTCCCTGTCTCAAAAATAAATAAAACGTTAAAAAAAAATTAAAAAAAATATAATATGGGTGTTATGTTGTAAGTGAATAGACGATGAGGTGATTTAGGAAGAATAAGAAGTTAATATGTTAATTTTTCTAAGATTGTGGCAACACATTTGTATGAAGATATATGCAAACCACTGTTAATGTTTTTTTGCTATAAGGAAACTCTGCAAGTCTATTAAAAGAGGATTTGGTATACTAAACATTAAACTTATTTCATAAATTGGTGTTTTAAATTATACTTATTTTGTTTTTATTTATTCCATATTTTATCTTTCTGAAGAACATGTATTTTGAAACACTTTCATATTTTAAAAAATATGCCTAAATGTTTGAATTATTTAAATATGTTTAGTTCGTTGAATAATGCCACCATCAGATACTGAGAATTGATGTTTTTCTCCCTCTCATAGACATGGAGTCTGGAGAACGGTTACCATCCTCAACAGCCTCCTCTACTACACCTTCATCTTCAGTACCTTCTGTGGCTTCATCAGTTTCAAAAGGCGGCCTTTCCACGGGAGCTGCTTCCCTGAGCTCTACAATCAACCCATGTGGTGAATACCCTTTATTGACTCAGTTTTAGGATACCTTCCATTTATTAATTTGCATTCATAGTGTTTTACTGAACTCTGAGTAAAATGTTTTCATCATCTCTCTTGACCTGTTGAACAATAAGTGGGTTTCTGCTTTTCCTGGATTTTGCCAGCACACTGAGGTGTCACGCTGGATCTTTCATGCTTTACATGCTTATGAGAAGCTCTCTTCATCTTGTCTTAATTTGACCATTTCAATTAATAAATGAGTACATGCAAAATATTTTTAAGCAATAAACCCATGAAGAGGTGAAAGAAATACAAAGGAGTCCTTGGTGGTAAGATTAGGTACCAATGCCATGGACCTTTTGTTCTAAATTTGCTTCTGCTATTTGAAATATCTTTCACCAAACTCCCAACTACCCCAGTTCATGATGTGTACTAAAGGAGATCATCTACTCGATGGAAAATATTCTAAAAATTAACAGCATGACAAGTTTCTCTTAAACATGAACAAAGTTCAGACTGCTAAAAAGACAATAATAAAAATTCAATTTCAGAAGTGAAAATATCATAAATTTCGATTAATTTTATAGAAGGTGTTTTTAATTACTGCCCGAAATCATTCTTTGCCCAAATGCAGATTTGGTAGAATACCTCCTTTTTTTTTTTTTTTTTAAAAAAAAGGAAAATGCTAAAGGGTTAACTCATTCCTTTATCACTAGGAAGGTTTTAAAGTTAAATATTTTTTTTTATCATATAGATTATTTCTTATGTTTATAAGCCAAAGAACTAAATGATATCTTTTTCAAAATTAGATTTATAATTTTGGATAAATATGGAATGCTTGCTAACAAAATACCTTAGTAAATTGTCAAATATATATTTATTCAATTATTTTGATTTCTTTTAATCAATGGAATGATAAGAAGGATGTCATTTTGTCATTGATTTATCAGAACAATTTTCTAGAATTTTCGTAGGGATTACAAAATAAGTAAGATAAAATAGCCTTTTATTTAAAACTAATAAATGAGGGGCGCCTGGGTGGCTCAGTTGGTTGAGCGACCGACTTAGGCTTGGGTCATGATCTCGCAGTTTGTGAGTTCAAGCCCCGCGTCGGGCTCTGTGCTAACAGCTCGGAGCCTGGAGCCTACTTCGGATTGTGTGTTTCCCCCTCTCTCTACCCCTCCCCTGCTCATGCTCTGTGTCTCTCTATCTCTCAATAATAAATAAATGTTAAATTTTTTTTTAAATAAAAAAAATAATAATAAATGAAATCCCTATCCTGCATCCTGTACAGTCTTGGTTGAGTCAGTTCACAACTTCATGCACACTTCCCTTATATATAAAATGATGAATGCCTTTGACAATATGCTGTGTTCAAAAATAGTGATGCTGTGATTGGCATTTTATCTTAGTTTGTCTAAATGATTGTACACAGTTTGTACTTTTGTAATTATTCTTTCCTGCGCTTTATAATTCTTCTTATTTCCTTTGTTGTCGGCTCATTTCAGTGTATCTTCCAATCTGCTTGTCTTACTTTGTATTAGTCTTTATATAGTGTTTCTAGAGATTTTTTTTTTTTAATGTTTATTTATTTTTGAGACAGGGATTGACAGAGTATGAACGGGGGAGGATCAGAGAGAGAGGGAGACACAGAATCCGAAACAGGCTCCAGGCTCTGAGCTGCCAGCACAGAGCCCGACGCGGGGCTCGAACTCACAGACTGCGAGATCATGACCTGAGCCGAAGTCGGATGCTTAACCGACTGAGCCACCCAGGCGCCCCAGAGATTTTTTTTTTTTTTAATGTTGAAGGTTTCAATTCTTGAGTACAGAGCTATGAGTTTTCTGGACACTTTGCTGTTACCAATTTCTTACTTAGTTTTCTGAATTAGTGACACTTAAATTGCTTATAACTTTGGACACTTACAACATGTTGGGCACTATTTTTTGTTAGTGGTGGTTGAGAGTTGCAAAAGGGGTGGGGTATGCTGAGTTGCAGAGTTACATCAGAAATTCCCTTATCTAGGAAAGAATTCACTTTTTACATTTATTTGCCAACTTGAAAGTGTCATAGACTTTTTATGTTGAGTTGCTTATGTTGAATGAAGGCATATTTTATTTCTATATTTATTCAGAAACATATTCGTTATTAATACATTATACTTTCCGTATATACAGCATGAATTTTTTTCATTTTCTACGTCAGAAATTTTGTTGTCTAGAAAAAAAATCATTTTTTATCATTTATTTACCAACTTGAAAGTTGTAGAATTTTTATGGTGAGTTGCTTATATTGAATGAAAGCATATTTTACTTCTATGTTTATTCAGACATATATTAGTTGTTAACATATCATACTTTCAGTATGTGCAGCATGAGTTTTTTCAGTTTCTAAGAAAATGCTTTTTTGTTTTTAGCTTTCACAGTGTTGTGGTTTATGTTTAAAGTAAAGCCTTATATTAACTTACAACTGATGGGTTGCATAAGAGAATGCTCAGTTGTCCTGCATAGCTCTATTTATCATATTTTCCTATCTTCCCTTATTTGATTCATTGTTTTTGGCCCATTCATTCTGATAATTCTCTTCATTTATAACAAGATCATAGAATGTTAATGAATCTAGACTCTTTGTCTTTTTTTTAAATTTTTTTTTTCAACGTTTATTTATTTATGGGACAGAGAGAGACAGAGCATGAACAGGGGAGGGGCAGAGAGAGGGAGACATAGAATTGGAAACAGGCTCCAGGCTCTGAGCCATCAGCGCGGGGCTCGAACTCACGGACCGCGAGATCGTGACCTGGCTGAAGCCGAACGCTTAACCGACTGCGCCACCCAGGCGCCCCTAGACTCTTTGTCTTAAACAACTTGAATCTCCTCAATTTATTTGATGTATAGCGACAACAAAACCATTTTCATTTTTAAAATGTCAAAACCTCACCAGTTCTTTAATGGATCCTTTGAGGACATTCTGTTGATTTAAACAGTTATTTTAATTGGCCTTTCTCCATCATCTTCATTAATGGTATGCCTGTAGGAATTCCTCTGAGTTACAAAGGATGTAATTCAAACCTGCTTTCAAACTTTGAATGATCAACTAATTTTTTTGAGTGAATACCTTGTTGGGGTTTGGGACTAAACCCACCTCCAAATTAGCCTGTCCCTATTGTGCATGCTGGCAGAAGACATGAGACTCCTGAGTCAGGCATTTTATTTCTTTCGCAGCAAATAGCATGAGTATCGTGTTGGCCTTGGCTCCCCATGCCTCCCAAGTCCTAAAGAGGCAACACAATGGCCCAGTTGAATCTTATAAATCTTATAAGTGTGTTTGTGTTGCAGCTGAGGAATACCAAACTTGGGGAATCCAATGCTTTCATATTAAATGAAGCAAACCTGCTCTGTCTTGAAGAAGATGCTGCTTCATCCTTCAGGGTTGCTCCCTGCAAATGCAATCCTGAGAAATGGTCTGCTTAAAGAGTGGTCAAGGCTTTGCATTCTTGGCATACCCAGCAATAATATGCAGAGACCTGGGAGGATTGCCTCTCACAACACACCTTCAATTTTATTACAGTAACTATGATAGAAAACAACATCACAATAATGATTGATTAATCTAAGGGTATCTGCATATGGGTTTTTGTTGGTCATATCAGAAGAGTAATATTTCTTTTTCCTTTAAGTTATAATTTTTAATAAAAGAACTTACCTATTTCTAAAAAATAATTTGAGACAGTTTTCAATAAATGTATTGGTACAATAAGCAAACACAAAATACCTAAAATATCAAAGAATAGGCTCTAAAAGGTAAAAAGGTGTTAGCCAAACAAAGCCACTGATATTGGACCAAAAAACTTACCAAACTAGTCGCTAAGAATAAAAGGAATACATAATGTGTTACATGACTCATAACCACTGTTAGTAAGTATATCAGTTCTTCAGAAGAAAAATAAACCTTTTTTTCTAGCCCTGAGTGGTATGTGGAATATGTCACCAGAACTTTTGTATAAAAAAACCAAATAGTACCTACATACCAATTTCACAGATATTCAGATTATTCCACATATTGACTCTGAGTAAAAGCTAAGAGAATAGTTCCACAATTAAACTTTATCAAATTTGTTTGAGATTTGTGGTCATTGACCTAACACAAAGATAAAACTTTGAGAAATTTCAGTAATAGTTGCTGAATTTCAACCCATTTTTAAGGGTAGAACCTTTAAACAAAAGCTTATCAAAACGCTGAATACACAAAACAAATAAATGGTTTAAAAATTCTCTGGCTTAAGCCAGAGTATTACTTTTCCTTTAGAAATTAAAGACTGGTTTATATATGTGTCTTACTTGCAGGCCACCTCCCTCTACAGAAGTGTACCAAATCATAATATATCGAGGAAATTGCAAGTTGACCAATAAATACCTGAACTTAGGGTATATGTCAGTTATGACAGTGCTTAACTGTGAGTAGGAAAACATGGCAATTAAACATGCAAGCCCATAGAAAGGCAGTCCTGGAGTGGGTAATGCCATTACAGACTTGGGCTTCTAATTTTATATTCTGTCTTTAGAGTATGGGGCTTTCATGCTCACATGTATATCCCATGGCTGTAAGAGAGCTGATTTCTGTACAGCGTAATTTTCTAGGAAGGAAGAAGATGGGGTGAGGGTGCAGCAAAAGTTGCATACTAGCTTGCTTTGACCCTTGTTAAAGAGCTTTCCCAGAAACTCCATCCAGAGATTTCCACTTGTATCTCTTTCCTCTGAATCATAACCTCAGCTTCTGGAAGGTCAGGAAAACAAGTTTTTAGCTGAGGACACTGCTTTCCTGAAGAAAATAGAGGTTACTAGTAAGGGATAGGCAATATCTACCATGGTGAAATGGAAGCAAGAGGAACAGGAAGTCAAGCTGGGGAATAGGCTACTGTCAGATCATTTATTTTTTTATTTATTTATTTTTTTAATTTATATATGAAATTTATTGTC